TGAAGTTGAGCAGCCATTCTTACCCTACTTTTCTAGATTGTTCCTCATTAATATAAACTCAGTGACCCTTAAGGAAGGAGGAGCTCTGGTGGTGTAGTGGATATAGTACTTGACTGCTAACTGGAAGGTCAGCGGTTGAAACCCACCAGCTACTCTGCAGAAGGAAGACTGGACGATCTGCTTCCATAAAGATTTACAGCCTCGGAAACCTAATGGGGGTCGCTAGGAGTTGGAATCGATGGCAGTGAGTTTGGTGTTTTTTTTTGGTCCTCTTAAATTTCTAGTCTAATCTTTTGTGTTGCCATTGTCATTTTGATCTCATGTAGATGGTTCTTAAAAGAGCATAATGTTCAAGGGAGTCTTTCCTTCCTGGTTAAGCTGAAGTATTATTTGGTTTTAAGAAGACTTTGTTTGGTTTTAAGGTTTAAACTTTTTATCTTAGGGCAATACTTTCAGGGGTTCATCCACCCTCCATGGCTCCAGAAAGTTGAGTCCATGAGAATTTCTGTGTTCTGTGTTTCTCCCCTTTGGATCAGGATTTTTCTATAGATCCCTTGATCAAAATGTGCAGTAATGGTAGCTGGGCACCATCCAGTTCCGGTCTCATGGCAGAGTTGACAGTTGTTTGTGGAGGCAGTGAGCTGCACATTCCCTGTCCCCTGCTGTTCCTGACTGTCCTTCTTTCTCTGTTGTTCCAGGAAGTAGAGACTCTAATTGCTGTGCCTTGGATGGCTGCTTGCAAGTTTCTGAGATCCCAGACACTGCACAACAGACTAGGACATAGAATAGAAGCACTAAACACCGTAGTAGGCCAGTTAACTGGGATGTCCCAGGAAGTCATGACCCTAAACCCCCAAACCAAGAAGCCAAATCCCATAAAGTGTTGGATTGTACATAAGCAGCCTCAGCAGCTACTCATTTTATTTTTTTTTTGTCATTGTTGTAAATACATCTATCACACAACTCTTGCCAATTCAACTTTTTACAGCTGTACAATTTGTTGACAGCAATTACAACAATAATAGCTTTGCAAATCTACCCCTAATCAATGCCATTTTCCTGTCACTATTAACACCTGCTCCTCCAGACACACACAGTTGCCACTAATAAACTTTGGTTTGTATTCATTTGCCTGTTCTTGTTAATTTTTTAAAATATAAGTGAGGTCATACGATACTTATCCTTATGTGATTTTCTTTCCTCACCGTAATGTCTTTAGTGCCATCCTTACTGTGAATAATGCTGCAATGAACATTGGTGCCCAAGTCTCTATTTGTGTCTCTGCTTTCAAATCTTTTGGGTCTGTTCCGAGGAGTGGAATTGCTGGATCCTGTGGCAGTTCTGATTTTAGTTTTTAGAGGAACTGCCACATTGTTTTACACAAGGGCTGTGCCACTTTGCATTTCTCCAGCACTTGATAACTGTTCCAGTTCCCCCAAGTCCTTGACAGCATTTGTTATCAAACAAAGTCTGTTTGTTTGTTTAAAGTCTTAGCTATCCTTAATTGTGCTCATGAGGAACCTGTACACAGACCAAGAGGCAGTCATTCAAACAGAACAAGAAATCAAAGGACATATTACATTGGGCAAATCAGCTGAAAAAGACAACTTTTTCTTTATTTGATAATTTTGTTTTTTTCTTTCTTTCTTTCTTTTTTTTTTTTTTTTTTTTT